CTTATGGTCATAAGCTGAAACCAAGCTGATTTTGTGTGCCTCAGTTAAACTACCATGATCAACATCCAAATCTAAATCCTTCTGAGACAAATTCAATTACACAGACACGACATCTTTCATATTTCAGCTATTATAATGCAGATTTCCAGATGCCGTTATTATATATTGCCAAACTCATTGTCCCTAATATAACCCAGCGTCTGTGTTATTCACCTCTCTGTGCTCGTGAAGTTATGCCTGATTGGTATGGTATTGGTGATGTCACTGCTGATGTCACAGGGATAAACTCTCTGCTCAGATTCAGCTAATGATATAAAACTGATCAAAACTGATACAGCACCAGTTTTTATTTCACCAGTGCAACAGATTTTGTCCTTTGGAGCATTTTTAATCTGATACTTCGTGCTATCAACACAAGTGCAACACTAATTATCAGGTTATCAGTGTTTACGTAATGCACCCTTAAAATTTAAGGATGCAGTTAGAAATAAAAGCATGAGCTTCTGTGGTCATGTTTGTGCTTCGGTGTGTGTTTTTGGCCCTTTTGCCCGTGTCTGGTGGTCATTCAGCCTGCTTCAGTACACCCAGGAAGAGTCCACAGTATTTTGATGCTGATGGACAGTTTCTAGCTGTCCAGGACAGCATGCCTGCAAGTTCATCAGAAGTTGCCAGAAGCCAAGGACCAGATGCTGTCAACTACCCCAGAACAATTTCTTGTGAGGGAACAAGACTTCAAAAAAGCCAAAGGATCAGCAGTATGGAAAATAGTCCTGGTAGTAGCTGCTGGTGTGTATAGTGGTATTGCTGAGCACGGCCTACTACCTGTGTGTCTGAAGAGGAGGCAGGATCTACTATCAGGCTCAGAAGGAGGGTTATGCTTAAAAAAAGGAAAAGTTTTGTAGTAACTCCCACAAAAAAAATGTGAACCACATTTGGTTCACTATTGAACACTGTCCGGTGCGCATACTTCCCCCTGGTCAATTTCTGTGTCAGTGGAACAGAAAGTTGGGAGCAGAATGACGTAGAAACAGAAAACTTACTGACTATACTGGTGAATGTTGGATTTTGAACTTATAGGCTGGAGACACTTTCAAAAACAAGTACCTTGGCTTTCCTGACGCTCTCCTGAACCTCTGCTATCTTCTGCTCCACACTGAGCGCCGTCTCCCCGGATAGGAGCTTCAGTCGGCTCTCTAACATCTGTAGAGCCTGATGAAACAAAGCAGATCTTAAAGTAGTAAAGTAATGCAAAAATATACATTATACAGGAAACCAGGAAGGAGCCACTGCATCACAATGGTCACGGTTCTTCCTCTAGTTTCTCACCCTCTCTCCGTGGGCAATGATCTTGTGGTCTTTAGCCACCTTGGCAGTCCATTTCTTAGCCTCCTTCACCAGGCAGCCCTCTTCTTCTGAACCACAAACTTCCTGCAGAACTGACACCTATGCAGAGGAGTACCAGTGACCACGATGTGAATTTACACAGATACTTTTTCAAGTCTTTTTCATTTGAGTCTTTCTTAGTTTAGAGTATAGTCCTGGTTTATTACATTTCAGTGAAAAAAACTAAAAGCTTAAGAGCTTTAGTTTGTAGTTCATTTTAAGATATAGACTTTTTATGAATGATAAAATAATGTTTTTAAATACAAAATTCAGTGTTTGGCAG